TGCTGCTTTATGATCAGTCTTTTGTATTTCCTGTACCTAATTATGCATTTTAATGAAGCTTTCCTTTATAACTTTCATCTCCCAAAGAGATGATAATTTTCACTTAGAATAATTTTAGAATTCTTTTAGATGATTAGTATTCTTTTAGAATATATAATTTTTCTACTCTGGCAGTCAGAAAGATCATTCTAGCAATTTATGTCTTTTCTACCCTCAAAACCTACATGACTTTAACAAAGCCGATTTTAAGTCATAGTGTTAGATAAATCTGTGAAAATTTATCTGTCCATATCCTTTTATATTGACTAAAAATTGGGTTGGATTGATAGATATCAGTACAAAGAAGATATAAGCTAAGATTAAGTGGCAGTGACAGCGTTCACAACAGAGATTTGCAGTGATTCAACCATATCATTTTTTACATCAGTGTAAGTTTCACTGCCACAACATGCTTCAGGACCTCCAGCTTTTTCATTTTGCACGCTGAAGCTAACCTTTCAGCCCAGTGCCAGCAGTAGGTCTGGTTTGTATGGATATCACCACGCGCAGTCTCTTCTGACTCAGGTGGATGATCCCAAGGTTCCAGTGACAAAAGGATCAGGGCAGCGTGGAGGCAGTGGGGAAGATCTGTTGGTGGCTGGGCATGATGGGCTCTTTAATTGCACAGGCACAGAAAGGCCTGGAAATTACTGAGTGAAAACACAGCCAAGCAGCTTAAAAAGCCTCCCATGAATTTTTGACTTCGAGCTGTCAATGTTGCCAACTATTTTTAATGCTTGCCTCATGGGCACAGCTAGAAGTATGAGTTTGATAGCAGGCACAGGTGGTACTGTGGCCTGTCCCATATTGTCCTAGGTCATGGGGGCAGAGGAGGATATTACTGCCTGGAGTCCTCTCCAGCTAGGTGGGGAGTTGGAAGTGGGGGAGATTGTAATGAACGTTGAGTAATTGAGAGCAGTGACTGCATGTGTTTGTTGGGGAGAGCTGGAACAGCTGGAAGTGCTGACACAGACCCTTTGTAATCCTGCTGGGATCGTCATCCCTTAAATGGATTTTCATAATTGGAAGAGTATGAATAGCATAAATAAAAGGTGGTGATTTACCTTGCTTTTCTTCTTGTTGTTTCCTGGAGTTTTATAGTATAGTATAGTGTGCAGTCTCTGTTAGTAGGCGGTGGGTAGTCTGCTCATATGAAATATTAATAATTGCTCCTAAATTATTGTTTTGTTAAAAATCATCTTCTCTAATGAAAGTGCTGAGGTTGGGTGTTACCCATTGGACTTCTTTTGTGTATTTCTGTGAAGGTATTTTTATCTTGCTTGCTTAAGGAAATGAGACATGGTAACAGGCATATACGTGTGTGTGAACCCCTCTGTGTTATGTTTGTGAAGGCATATGAATATATATGCCTTAGTGCCTTATTTTTTTCCCAATTAATTTTTGAATCTAGTGGCCAAATTCTACCAAATTTAATAAATGGATAGAAGTTTTACAGTCACTGTGTTCTTATACTTTGTGTGAAAAAACAGAAATCCTTACAGAGGAAAGAAAATCTCTTCAGGACTTCAGCAAAGGAAAGGCTACTGTCTCTAACAGACATCAAAGAATCCCCACAGAAGGTTTTCCCATTTCAGTGTAAATCAGTAGGGGGTCTTTAGGTTCACTGCTGAGAAATCTATTTATTTTTTTTACTTGGACAACTTTTGTCCCTTCTTCATCTTAGTCAATTGATTTGCTAATTTTAATGCCCCTGATCCTTCGTTTCTCCAGGTACAACAAACCCAGGTTTTTTGGCCTCTCCTCTTTTGTCCTGTGCTCTAGCCCCCGACCATCTTGGTGGCTTTTCAGTGGCCTTGCTGCAGTATGATGGTGTTAAACTCGGTGATCACCAGGACACCAGCCTCGGTCCTTTTTGACAAAACTACTTTTTCCAGTTGACTCTCAGCTTGTACTGTTGCGTAGGATTATTACCTCTTTGTTAGAAGATTTGGCATTTGGCTTCTTTGAACTTCATTAGATTCCTGCCAGCCCTTTTCTCAAACTTGTTGAAGTTTGTCTGCATAGCAGCTCTACCTCAGCATATCAGCTACTCCACTCAGTTTAATATCATCTGTGAATTTACTGAGAAAGCTCTCTAGGTCTCTAATAAATACACCAAACAGTATTGGCCCCAGTATTGAGACCAGAGGGATGCCACTAGTAAATGGCTTCAGGCTGGACTTTGTGCCACTGATAACAACTCTTTGAGCCTGGCAGTCCAGGCAATTTTCCACCCTCCTTATCATCTCCATAGCCAGTCCATTTCTCACCAGTTTGGAAGTATGGATACAATGGAAGACCATGGCAAAGGTCTTGCTAAAGTCAACATATAAAACATCCTGATGCTTTCTCCTTGTAAACTGTGCTGATCTTTTCATCATACAAAGCTATCACTTTAGTCTGGCAGAAATTGCCAGTGGTAAATCCACGCCAGCTGTTCCCAGTCATGTTCTTGTTCTTCATGTGTTTGAACATGTGTTTACATATTTGAATTGCTTCTTTGTGTTGTCTAGAGTACATACTACTTCAACCTCACATTCTTTTCCTAATTAAATGAAGTATGGTGAGTCACTATTCAGAGGCATTAACACAAACAACAAAAAACCTTAAAGTATATTAGGAACAGCAAATGAATAAAGGAAGTGGTGTCTCTTTTACCAGCTATCAAAGAATTAAGCAAACAGTCAAGATGGATGAGCAGGCTGCCAAGAAAAAAAGAAAAAAAAAGAATAATTTCTTTGTATAGGTCCTCCTTTCAGAAGATCCCAGGGAGTTCACTACCTTGATCTTATTCATGCCAGATAAAGACGGAAAAATGTCAGGGAAGAATTTTTCTAAAGAAGATGTAAAAAAAATCCAGGACTGTGGAATTCAAGAATTCCAAACACACCCAATAATTAGGATATTGGTTAGATCATCCAACACTGATGTATATCTCTGACTGAAACTACCACTGATTAAAATCCCCACACAAAGGAAGAGAATGGTAAATAGTTATAAAGCAGACTGATAACATGGTATGATAGAACACGAACGATGATTATGTAATGTAAAATCCTATAGCGTAAGAATCCTTTCATTCAGTAGGAAAACAGATAAATGGAATTCATGGCCCTAATTTGCTTGGATTTTGAAGCTATTGATATCCATTAAAGTACCGGAAGATCAAGAATTACTAGTAACGAGCTAGTGTGACTAGACTTAAACAATTAAAGCCAAATTTATATTAGTTTATGATTTATTTTAAGTCAGTAGGCTATAAGCCAAGTAGCATGTAGCCAGCATAAGCAACAGCTAGCATAAGTAATTTATGGTTGAACCTTCCTCCCCCTCTCCTCTTGAAGAAGAGTAGCTGCTGCCATTGTGTTATCTAAGAATCCATAAACAAAACAGAGGGAGATAAAGAAAGCCAAGAAAAGCCTCCTTGGAAAGATAAAGAAAGGAATGCAACAGCGGAGGGAGGAAAAGTGACTTCTGAGGTAAGCAGAGGCATTACCAGCTTTAAACAAAGAACTGAAAAAAAAATTAATAAAAGGTGACCAGAACAGAAAACTTGTGAACGCTTTGAACTTCTGAATGCTTTGAACTTAAAGGAGCTGAGTCTACATGATCTCTGCTGTAGACCATCTCCAGATTCTCAAGACTCACAGGACATCTGGCCAACAGACTGCTGAGATTTTATTAACAGAGACTACATATCACTGCTTAGCTCTGCTTAGTTGTATATGTTCCAGTAAAGCTCGTCTGTTAGAGGACAGACTTTTTTATCTCAGCTGTTGACTGCCCACTACTGATGTTTATCATGTTGGCAACAGATTTGGCATTTCTGGGTGGGCTTGAAGGTTAAGTGAACTGAGACAGATAACCTTTCACAACTAGAGGTTTGAAGGATTGCAGTTTCCTTCTCTGAATGTAAGAAAGGTGCAAGTGCTAAGATAACTTAGTTTTGAAATTGAAGCAGTTATCTCCTCTTACATTATCATAAAAGACGTAACTGGAAGTTAGCAATTCATGTTTCAAATGTGTGTCTCTCTCACCTGATCATCTATGGCATGTCAAGAGCTTATGACATACCTGGTTCTGCATCAGTTGTAAGGAAAGGCTCATAAGGGTCATGTATCAAACACCAGGCTAACCAAGTGGGCACTTGCTCTCACAATCAGAGGGGTCACAATAGGAAGTCAGGATCTGTCTCAGCAGTCTTTGATTTGGTATCGGATGAAGAAAAAGCAGTGGAAGACTATGAGTGCTTCCTACCCAAACCAAAACCACTGAAGTCACCTTTTTTGGATGGCACTGTTAAAGTGGCAGGGCAAAAAGCAGAGGGCACATTGGTTGGTTTGTGGGTGGGCCAAATTTCTGTGGAGAGGGAGCACCTCACGTGACATATGTGATGGTGAGTGTAAGTACTAACAAAACGATCATGAGAAAATTGCTGTCGTCATATGCTCCAACTGACAGGTGGCAGCATTAAAAGCCATACCACTGGATCAGCCAGTGCCAGAGTCATGCTTCAGATTGTGTGGTGTAGGACCCGTGCTTGGTCTGGAAGGGCATGCAGTCAGCAGGGAGCACACTTCCTTTAGCTTCATCATGCAAGGCCAAGAAGTTCTTAACCTGATCCATCATCTCAAGCAGGAAGGACAGAGAACGTAGGCATTGCAAGCACAGGACCTAACCCTCTCTGATTTAGTGGAAGAAGGAGAAAGTTTGAGATGGAAAGAGATAAGGTACCACAAGTCTATAGACCTGTGTAAATGCTGGATTGTGCCTGAACACACACAGAACAGGTTGACAGAGTAAGTTCATGCTCAGGGAAATTCAGGAATAAACAAAACCTTGATGAATTTACAGAGTAGAGTGTGATGGTCTAGGATAAAAGATGTAGAGATGTGTATTAGGAAGTGTGTAACTTATATACTAGCAGTCCAGATACAAAAGTAATAAATTGAGTGTAAGACTTCTGGACTATGAAACAAGTGTGAAATGGATCCTTCTTATCCCAGACTGTGTGAGGAAACAAGGATCATCTTATGATAGTTTCACCAATTGACAGAAATATTTCCAACTTAAATCAAGAGAGCCAGCACAGCTGCTAGGGCACTGATAGCACAGATGTTTCTCTGAAGGAAACTGGCTATGACTTGGGTCTGTATGTTGCAGGAGAAATTATAAATGATTGCATCTGGCGCCAGGGTTTCAGCGAAGGCTCCGCATTGCTGGACATCCCCAGGGAGGACTACTGAGTGCTGAAGACCATTCTGAGAGGTAAAGCATCAAGGGAAAGCCTGAGATGAAAATCTCCAAGTAATCCTAATGCTGCAATAAGGAACTGCCGCATCCTGTGGAATAGAAGAGACTCGAGGTTGCTCCATTTGTGATTAGGAGGGCGGCTGCCAAATAAATTACAACCATATGGCCCAACAGACAGATGGATTCAAGGCATGTTAAAGACAGTGTCAGCTACACACCACCAGGTAGCCAGGCGTACATTAGAAGCAAATGTTCAAAAGATGGATAAAGTAGCACGCTTGTTGCACCTGGTAGAATGAAATATTGGAAGCAGAGTAACAGAGAACCAAAGGAAAAAACAAACAAACAAACCAAACAAAAAAAACCACCAACCGTGCTGAGACCTCAGAGAAAAGGACATCTTAGAAATATCAGTGAGGCCAGATCTACCACGTTAAGTCAAAAGGGGAAGAATGACCTGGAAAAAAAAGTTCAAATTTTCACATTTAAATGCATGGAAATTATATTAATGAAGCTGAGGATTTGACTTTTGTTTAGCAGAAAAAAAGAAACGAAGCCTGGCATGGACTAAGAAAAATATAAACCTCACAGTGTCTCTGACTTCGTTTCAGTATGAGGAAACAGTTTCGAATTTGTGGTTTCAGCATTTCCTCTGGTTGCTGGTAGGTGTATAGCACTGGGTATAGCACACACCTGCCTAAACTTCCACACCTGTGACAAGTTTAGAGGGATAAGTAATAGCTGCCAGTTAAAAACACACTTTGACAAAGGAGCCAGAGAACAATGCATATTTCAATAAAATACATATAATTATATAATAAAAGAGTGACACATATTAGCCAACGTGCGAAGACTATCTGTTAATAATAATAATAATTGGAAATATGAAATAAAATCTAGGATAGTCTTATCCAAAGGTCAATGCTCAGGCTACATAATGCATCTTTTCTGTCTACCCTAGATACAGGATAATTGGCCTGACTTCACAGCTGTTTCATATATGAAGTCTGGCTGATCCTGACTTGCTGTTCATGGCATTTAGAGGAACAGGAACTGGGTGACTCAGACAAGTCAGTAGTGTGAATGCTGAAGCCATTGCTAATTCAGTTGGAGGCTGCAGTGTTGTACAAAATCTCTAGATACTCCTAACTGAGCAATAGCCAAGCCATAGTACTGGAACAGTGGTTGTTAGGAGATGGGTTGCAAGTCTGGAAATAGACAAATGAAAATATCATGTGTTACTGAAAGTATTAGAATTAAAAAACAAGCAGCAACGGCAACAACAACAAAAACATTCCCTTTTTTGTGGTTGCATACAACACTCACAGTAGAAGCACTGAGATGGAGAAAATCAAGTCCTTCATGCTGAGATCAGAAGGATTGTCTTGGATTCAGCTATGGATAAAGAAAAGGAAATACAGACTTGATGGAAACCATTCTCCCTAATCCAGGATCAAGTCCTCATTTAAGTGATGGCCTGTTTTATCATTTTGAGACCAGTCTGCAGAGGAGTAAAACAGTGTCAACTTAAGTATGAAAAGGATACGTGTATTGTTAACAATGTGTAAATACAATTTAATTAATGACATTTCACAGTTAATAAACTGTGTTTATTGACTTCAGTGTAGCTGTTACTAGATGCCATGCTTTTTTTTTTTTATTAACCACTTGTGTTTATTACTCATTAAAAACTGTACCCTGTATCAAAATTTAAACCCAAATGCAATTGGAAAGAAATTGTCTCATGTAAAAGATACATTAGAACATTCAGATTTTCAATAACTATTAGAAATACTATGGAAGAAGCCAGAATGGTCTTGATAGCTATATCACAGTGCCAGATCCTTCAGTGAATTAAAAAAAGGAAGAATAACACAGGTGGAGTTTTCTTTGGTGGTCCCACACAGCTGCTGACATCTTAAATACGTCATTGTAGCTTCTCACTACAGCTTTATTAACACTGCTAATAATGATAATAATATACTAATTGCGTGTGCCTACTGATCTAAAAATGGCTTGTTACTGGTTGAGGCAAGCAGCATACCAAAAGGGACAGTCATTTGCATGGCCCCAGACTGTCTAGTTGCCTCCTGCCTTAAGTCAAAGACAAGGCCTTTGTCTTGGCCATGAAGTGTTGACTTCACTAGCCAGCACCCAGTAAGCCTTACATGGAACTTAATGTGGGTAATGGTCTCATTTATTACAAGAGATCCTTTAAGGAAGGCACTTTGGGCCAAGCAGATAGAAGTTGACATAGACTATGGTTATCACAATAACTTTTTGTTGAGTATTTTTGTCTTGCAGAGTCAAGAACAGGTACTGAAGCGCTGTTACCCGACACAGGGAACAGAACATGAGATTTTTGGAAAATACCCTTGGAAAGATAGAGAAGTTAATGCATCAGCTGAGAGGAAAAGCGACTGCTGAAGTAAGCCTCAAAGAAAGCACTGAAAATAAAGTTTAAAGGTGACCAGAAAAAAAAAAAAAAAAAAGAAGAAGCAGTGAACACTTTGAATTTAAAGGAAGTGAATACACATGGGTCCTTGTAGGTGACCCCAAGATTCCTACAATGTTTGAGTAACAGATTGGTGAGATCTTGCCACAAAACAGCACTTGGCTTTGTACAGTTGTGGACATATCTTGTGAAATTCATCTGTCTCTGTATCAGGTATGAAGTGCTCACTATTCAGATTTAGCAACAAAGGCTGATTCGGCTCTCATAAACATTTAAACCTATGCAGAAACACAGTCAAAACAGTATCAGTCATCTCAGAACCTGTAATTCATTAGCTCGACAAACTTTTGTGAAATAAAGGAGATACTGAAAGGGGCATGAGTTTTTCAGCACACATTCAATTGATGTACTGGAAATGGAGAGTTTTTAGGAGTGAAGTACTTGTTAACACATTGAGAACACAAAGTCATTGCAGTTCTTTGTTTCCTCTCTGCTATCAGTTTTACAGTCTCTAATTTAGTCTTGGGGTTTTGTCCCTTCTCAAGTACTTTTGATATTACATCCATTGCTGTGTGTTTTTCTCTTTACTTTAGCTCATTAATTTACCATTTTGTCTTTTTGACCAATTTCTTCCATGAGTTTTTCAGCGTGGGTTTTCTGGAAGTGTTCTCTTCGAAAGGTAATTTAGGGCTTTCATAGTGAAAGTTCAGGTTTATTGCTTAAAAAAGACCTCGTTGTATAAGAACAAGAAATGACTGATATGCTAACCTTTTTATTTTTTTTTTCTCTCTGGTTATTAAACAATTCTTCTGGGGATTGTATAAGTTCAGAGATTGTTGAACTTTTGCCAGAACTGTGGTACACTTCCAGTGGGTATATATAACTTTTTAATGCCTAGAATGCAGCTGGATGGGTTGGGTTTACGCATACCCAGAGTCTCATGCATGTATCTGCTCCAAAAGTGATTCTCTCTTTTGCCATAACTCTTGCTAGACTGTTATGTAATAAAGAGCCAGGTGCCAACAATCGTAGCAACGATGCCCCAGCTAAATCTGTTTTAGATGGAAGTGCACCTGCCAGAACTATTTCCCAGGACATGTAATCATTTAGTCTAAAAATTCAAATAATGCTTATTCTCTTGATTAAATTACACCTAGAAGTCTAGTCAGATACATAAAGAAAACTTGGTAGATATGCCAAAAATGCAAAAATTGGATGCTATGATTACTGATACAGATTTTACAGCTCTGGAGATCTGTGAATTCCGATGGAATTACCTCAAAGTTATACGGCTGAAGCATGAAACGGTTTGGAATTGCTTGTAAGACTTTTCTGTTTTCTCTGGAAAAATATTTGCAGAGATGAATTCTGCTGTAATTTTATTGAATTGTGTGCAGCAGGAATGTGTATGTGACTTTTGTGTCTCTCTTGAATCCTAGATTTTGGATTTTAGGGCTGGATGACCTCTGAACCATGGATTGTTTCTAAGCTTGTCGACTGCAAGGCTGTCTGCTCTGCAGGGGGAATTTATTGACTTTAATGGCTGTAGAGTTCCACCACTGGCTTCACAGTGTAACCACACAGGGCACCAAGTCACAAAGGTACAGTAGTCTACCTTTGGTTAGAGCTTTTATGAAATAGTTATGACTGGAATATAGCTTTCAAAGCCTAAATGCTTCTTTCTGTAAACCAACATAGATCAAGTGTTGCTCCTCAGAAATCAGAGGAGTGGGTGTAGCAATGCTGTAGGTGAGAAGAGGAACCTGGTATAGCCTCCAACAGCACCGAAGGATGCTCCGAAGGGATGCCAGATTCTGGCACTCAGCTGAGCGTATCCAGCCCCGCTGATTTCTGTGCTGCCACTGGAGCAAAAGATTCTGGCTTTGCAGCCGGGGTTTCAGCCTTCCTCACAAATTCTCCTCAGGTTTTCCTAACAGCAGGTATTTCTTGGGAATAATTTCTGCTGTGAATCACCCTCCCAGAGACGGTATTTTCTTCCACTGAACATAATAGGAGTTAAACTGAATTTAGGTGGTAAAAGTACATACCATGTTAAAATCTGCTGGGACGCTAGATGCCTTAGAGAATTAGGGAGTATGGGGAACTTTGTTTGCAGATCTGCTCAAATCCAGATTCTGGATGACTGAAAGCTATTTTTGCACACAGCCATGAAACATGAGATCACCTTATGTCATTTCCTGCACAGGCTTGTGCCAAACAGAGTTGTCTAATTAGGGCTCCTGCTGGGATGTCCAGGAGAAATGAGGGACTGGCTGGCAAACAGACTGGTTTAGCTTCTCAAGCCCTATTGCCACAATGATATACATGAATTAAAAGTATATTTGTAGACTACTGTGGGGAACATTTCTCTGCCTTCACCCATACTTGTAGAGGAAGACTGTGCTTCTACAGGACAGGACTTTTCCATTTAAATTGGGTAGTTTTGCTTTTTATATGAAAGACAATTTTATCCTATGTACACAGTAGGTGATAATAGGTCTTTGTGAATGCTCTTAAGTTATCTAATGGTATAATTAGGAACTTTAAATTCAGGGATTATTCCAGTTCAAACCAGAAAACTTTCACATTTCATTTTTCAAACCATTACAGAGTCTTCAAAAGTCTCTACTTGCTTTATTACATTAGGAGTAAAATTTCTGTTTGAGGATGAAGTAACAGCAGGGTTTCAGAAGTTGTGAACACAGTTTTTGAATAAAGGAGGATATAAGTATGATAGTATTTTTTTTTTTTCCAGGATCAAAAAGAACTAATTAAAACATATCAATAAATATTTTGATTCACTTAATACTAAATAAATTGTGTTGCTTGTTGTAATAGCTGGTAGTGGCTGTGCTTTAGAGACATCCAGCCTGTTCTGCTGAGGATTTGGACCAGACCAGCTTCTAATTAGCCTTATCACAGCCTTCTTTGCTTCCAACATCTACCTGAGTGAAACACAATTGTTGATTTTCATGGTCAAACATATAATGAAAAATAACTAGTCCAATTCTTCCTACCCCATGGCTTGGGGTCTCCAGA